GGGACAATGCTATTTGTGCTCAAAATGGTATGTGAAAGTCTAACTGTCATAATAAAATTCAGGTAAAATAGCTGTCAACATCCTGTATAGCATGAGGATGACTGGATTTGTTACAGAATCAAACAGATATTCTGGAATTTTGGAGAGTCAACCTTGGCACTGTAATTTTTGTTTTGTTTTGTTTTTTTAAAGGAAAATAGTTTTAATCCAATTAACAAAGGAAAGAAGCATGTGATTCTCAGCACTAGGTTCCCAACATACAAACTTTTTCCCTAAAAAAGAATCAAATAAATTATTTTTCATTGGTACAAATGCAGTGGAAAACAAACTAAAACAAGTGAAAGAAAAACATACAAGAATGTATTAAAAGTAGGTATATAAAATAATAAAACTGAAACAACTGAAGTTTAGACATGTATATTCTCTTTCAAATAGCTATATTCTCATGTATAATTACAGAAGAGTGAATACAGAATATATTTTTCTACTCTTTAATTTTGTGTCTTTACTGATGAAATAAGTTTGTTGTGGGCAGCAAATTGTTGGATTTCTTCTTCTTTTTTTAAAAATCCATTCAGCCAGTCTGTATCTTTTAACTGAAAAATTTCATCCACTTACATTCAGGTTTAATATTGATACTAAAGCCACTCCTGTCACTTTGTTAATTCTTTTCTTCTTTCCTTCCTCTTTTGTTCATCTCTGTGGTTTGATGATTTACTCTGTTTATAAGATCTCAGTGTTTTCTATTTCTCTTTTATGTATCAGCTCTTGTGCTGCATTTTATCCACTAGGGTAACCTTTCAAATGCTAAGTCAGATCATGGTATTGTTTTGCTCAAAATATTAGTCCAGTTCTTCACTTCCCCGAAGCAGAGGACATGAGTTTGCAAGGCCCTGCACAATCTGGCCAGTTACCTTTGGACCTCCTTTCCTCTACTCTCCCTTCTGTGTTTCAGGGACACCTACTTCCTGGTTCATCCTCAAACAAGCCAGGCTCCAACTGCTTCCTCTGCCTGAGCGCCCTCCCTCTACCTGTTCATTAACTCTCTCTCTTTTTCCGGCCTTTCCCCAAAGGGCACCTCCTTCATTAGAGCTACTCTGAGCAATACCTCAATGCCGCCTTTAGTCTATCTTTCTTCCTCCACCTTCCTGATTCCCTGGATCTGCCTTCAAGTTTTCTCCTTTTCATCATACATAGTATTTTTTACCATATTACATAATACATTTCTGCACAGGGCAGGGGCCTTATTCCATTATTAACTTCAAGAGCAAAGGCAAATGCTCCATATTTAAAGATACCAGTAAATATTTGCTAAATGAATGTAAGGAATTATGGAAATATAAAATAAAATATAGAATACATAGCATTAATTTTTTTAATTAAGGAATGAGGTGCATGAGATTAAACAATGACAGATTTTCTGAAGCAGTCAATTTTGAAACTGAAAATACTTTTTATATTACAGAAATCAAAATTTAAAAACAATTCACCCTTCTCCCACTGTACAGAGGATTGAGCACAGGGCCTAGCACTTGCTACTGCTCTACCACTGAGCTACATTGTCAGTCACGTTTTATTTTGAAACAAGGCCTTGTTAAGTTGTCCAGGCTGGCCTTGAACTTCCAATCCTTCTGCCTCAGCCTCCCAAGCAGCTGGGAATAGCTGGGCCACCACACACACCTGGAATCAATTTTCAAATTATGCTGCATCAATTTTGTTCTGAGACTTTATGTAGAACAGTGATGGGGAACCTTATAGCATTTCAAATATAAGCAGCCTGCTATGGCACACACGCTGTTCGGTTGCCTCCACTGATCTAGAACAACCCTAAGTAGTTAACCCTTTCCTTGAAACATTACCAAACACCGCCTCAGAGCCATGCCTACACCCTCAAAAGCAAGGCGCATGTTCATTTGGTCTTCCCTATCTTTTTCCCCAGTTTTCCCTTGGAGAAGAAGTGCAGAAAGAGGTGTGTCTTCCCCATTAAAATTCTCTCCAACACTGAGGATCCCTCTTAAAAGGTTTAAGAAGGAATTTTGTATTTTTTTCCATGTGTACAGGAGTAACACATCGTACTAAATATTTAAGGTCACATCTATGTGGGTTTGATTACAGAAACTAATAAAGTATTCTCTAAATAATGAAAAAAAAGAATAAGATAAGACTATAAGAGCAAGAAGCAATTTAAATATGTTCAGGGACCATTTTCATCTCCAGAATTAAGGATTATTTTAATGTTACATCATTGCCTTTTCTCTTTTACTTTCCTTTTTAGTTTTATTTTAGGATTCCCTATTTTTAATGTTCATACAGAGATTTCTTTAACTGAAATACCGAATAGTTTATTTGGTGTGAAAAACTATAATAGTACACAGGATCCTAATGAGATAATTAATAATGTGAAATAGGAAGTAAAGGGCTAAAGGTGTAGGGAAAGTGGGAAGGGTGGGGGAAAGGTAATAAGGGAGAGGAAAAAATATGAGAAACTGAAAAAATGGAAATAAAGTGTTTGTAAATGGGGGGGAGAGGAGGGGTGAAGGGAGGGCAGGGACAAGGGGAAAAAATGAGAATCAAGACCTATTATGTAAAGGTACAGAGTCCCAATGATGAACATAACTGCACTGTATACCTAGATTGTACCAATAAACTCAATAAAAAGAAAAAAAAAAGGTTTAAGAAGGAACCATGGAAGCAACTGAGAAGAGACAACTGGAGAAATGCAAGAAAGTAGGGCAGTGTGAAGTCATTGGACAAGGGGAAAAAATGAGAATCAAGACCTATTATGTAAAGGTACAGAGTCCCAATGATGAACATAACTGCACTGTATACCTAGATTGTACCAATAAACTCAATAAAAAGAAAAAAAAAAGGTTTAAGAAGGAACCATGGAAGCAACTGAGAAGAGACAACTGGAGAAATGCAAGAAAGTAGGGCAGTGTGAAGTCATTGAAGTCAAGGATGGGCAGTCTTCTAAGGAGAAAGTGGCAATGTTTGATGTCCCTGAGTGGTCACATAAGATTTTGAGCAAAGTAAGCCATGGGTTAGGATCTAGTAAATTTATTGGTGACATGTTGGTAGAAATTTCAATGGCATGGCAAAGGGCCAGTCTTAAGTGAGTTGAATGGTCAATAAAATACAGAAGTAGTAAAACACAGTTGTGCCTTGGCTCATGAACTTAGTTCTTTCCACAATTCTGGTTGTAAAATTTGATACATGATTCTGCCTGCATAGTGTATGCTTGAAATTCAGTCAGAACCATAACCACAGAACAAATTCTGTGACCAGAATCATGGAAAGAATTAAATTCATGAACTGAGGTAACACTGAGATCATTATTTCAAGAAATTTGACTTTCATGGTGAGGTATTCTCCCATGTAGAATCGCAGAGACTTGCAGGTGATTTGAGCCTGTGAAAAGTGACTGGTAATAAAAAGAAGTTTGAAAGGGGACAGCTGCTAAAGCAGAGGATTCAAAGGAATGGGGAAAATAAGATCACAAGCACAGAGAAGAAATTAGCTTTGGAGCCAGGTATGGTGGAATCCCAGCACTCTAGGAGCTAAGGCAGGAGGATCACAAATTTAAGCTCAGCTTGGATAACTTAACCATTTAGCAAGACCATGTCTCAAAATAAAAAAAATTAACATAAATTATTTTGAGTATATTAGAAGGCATAATGAAGAAATCAGATACTTCCTGTACAATAGTACCTCAGTTCATGAACTTGATTCTTTCCACAATTTTGGTCACAAACTGCATTGGGCAAGAACTGAATTAAATTCAGAATTTAGGCTCTATGTTGACCTTATGGAGAAATTTGATTGGGTTCTTGTTCAGTTCATTTTGTGAACGGAATCAGAGAGAATTGAGTTCGTGAACCAAGATACTACTCTATTTATAATGTTAAATTGGATTTAAGAAGGTCAGAAACTACCTCAAATAGCACAGAAAAATGAAGAATATTGCAACATGGGGAGGTGGAATAGAAATTTGTATATTTGTATGTTGTATTTGTACATTGTATACAATAAGTCTGTACAAAAACAGCACACTTGATATGCTCAGATAATTATAAAGTGTTTTTACCTATATGAACACACAAGTAGTACTTTAGAAAATCATGAAGACTCAAGAGCAGGCACTGGCATGGGGAAATTTATTTTGCAAGACTGCCTAGGATAACATAGGCTATGTAATAGCCCTAGCATCTTTTCAGTAAATGTACAAAATCTACTTATAACTATGACACTCAAATATATACCACAAAATCCACAACATTCTCTCTCTCTCTCTTTTTTTTTTTTGTGGTACAGAGACTTGAACTCAGGACCTTGCGCTTGCTAGGCAGGCACAGTGCCACTGAACCAAATCCCTGGCCCCACAACATCCTCTCTTGCTGATAGTTTCTGACTTAATTCATTGATTATGTGCTTAACTAAAAGAAACATGAAAACTTTGTTTTGTAAGTTTTTTTTCTATTTGTGTTGCTAATGTAATGTGATCATAAAGTTATTTTTTACAGTAAAACCTACATTATGCTCTATTAGTCATATTTGTTCTTACAATTACAAAAGATGTATTGGGGAGGACGGATTTATTTAAGACCTTTTTATTTTTTTAAACAGATGAGGGGCTTTTCAGCTCCATTATTTTCTATCGGACCTCTCCAGACTTTTAATTATTCACTGCTCCAAATCTAGGACCAGCATCATTTCTCCTACTCACAATGTACTGATTCCAAAGGATCACATTTTCAGCTAAGAAAATATTAACTGATTTTGATGTATGTAACTGGAATAATTCATGTTTCTTAATTTTCTTCTTTATCGAGAATATAGTACCCCCAAGAATATTCAATTTTTTTCAAACATGCACAATATGAAAAATTTAAATGATCCTAAAGCTCTGTAACCCATATTTTTAATAAAAGTCTCTGAATATACAAACATCATGAAATCCTTACCAGCTAGTCAAAGATAGAGATTAAATGATTAAACAGCACTTGCCTGGCTGAGACGACGAATAACTGTACTCCCTTGGGAGTCTGGATGCTTGGACCGCGGTGTGGCAGCCCCACCCGCAACCCCCGCGTGGTTTTCCGTGCAGCCCCACTGGCACCTAGGGAATGTCCCACTGCAAAGCGACATCGTCAGGAGGCGATCTAGGTCTGAGACAAGGGCTGTGCTGAACTCTTCACAAATTGCACTAAAAATCCACCTGTCCTCGTCTGGGACCACAGTGAGGGGCTAGAGCCTTCCGGGGACTTCTCCAGAGCTGTGTGGAGCCACCTGCCATTTAGAACAAGCTGAGAGGTCGGAGGCAAGGTGAGCAGGGGCAGCTAACTGGCTCGGACCGCCAAGGAGAATCCAGGCGTGCAGTCTGTCCTGTACTTGAAGACAGAGACAGCTCTGCCACTCATACCGCAGGACCGAAGGTATTGCCCAAAGGCAAAGTGACCAACACTAATGTGCCCCTGCAGGCGTCCAGGGCACAAAGGGGACAGTGAACAGCTGAGTGTGGACAAGCTCATGCCCCCTGCACCTGTGCCCAGGCCAATAGCACCCAATGGGTCCTGGAGCAGATCCAGCTCACTCTCCAGATTGGCACCCAGGTGAACGTGGGGGCTGCACACACTCTAACTCAGATGTGGCAGGGACTGACATCCTGAAGACTTAGGAAGCCACATGTCTGCCATGGTGGCCTTGCTCACCCAAAGGTCTCTGGATGCCTTGAGACAGGCCAAGCTACCTCCCGCCAACATCCCTCCCACCACCAGCTCCCTGTCCCCAAGGCTAACTTGCTTCGTGTGATTTGGGTGTTCATGAATGTCAGGTAAGGCCTCCCCAGTGCTTTGCTACCTCAGCCCACCTCCCCCAGATTCCCAGGGTCCTCTAGAGCCCTATCTCTACTGGCGCTAGACTCAGCCACAAAAGGGAAAGAGAAATCACTCAAAATTTCTGTGGTGGATGTCAAACCCAGAGACAAGGTAGGCTTCTACAAGGTCCTTGAAGATCCACCTCTGTTCCATATTGGAGAGAGAACATTCGTGTGCTCTGTCTGAGGTCATCGCTTTACCACCAAGAGCAACCTCGAGGTGCACTTTCATAGACTCCCAGTTATCTGCTGAATTCCAGGAAAAAGTGGTGGCAGACCATAGCATCCTCTGTGCACTCTTTGCCTTTGTTCCCATTGATGAACCCAGTCTCTCTCTAGACAGCACATGTGTGCTTGTAATGGGGACATCCTCCTATAGGGCTACCTCAAAATATCCCCTCAGGGACCAAGCACAAGGACCTCACAGGTGGCCCACTACCCAGTGACCTGCATCCTGGGCCTCCTGCAGAAATTGAAGGTCAACCCACACTCCTTGGGTTGGGGCCAACCTGTAATCACAGAATGGTTGGTGGCTTCCAGAGGAGTAGGACGCCAAGCCAAGGTCAGAGACCCTAAAATTGCAGCAGCTCATGGAGAATATCGATGAGGCTACCACTGATCCCACTGAGTGTATCATTTACCACTGAGTTTTAAGCTGCCAAAACTTCCTCGATATGCATTACCGCCCCCACACTTGGGAAAGGCTGTTCCAGTGTAAGATCTGTGGCTGAGGCTTTTTCACCAAAGTCAACTTAAGGATACAGCTCAAGCTCCACTGAACCAACATGTCTGTGAAGACAAAGCATTCATACCCCATCTGCCAGCTGTTCACCAGTGTAGTCACACTGCAGCAATATATTCATATGCACATGGGTGTCCAGATTCCCAACATACCCCTACTGGAGAGTCCCTGTGGCTTTATGAGTCCTGAGCTCGCGATGGCCTGTGAGAACAGCAGTGCAGGTGCCATCTGCAATGACTGTTGTTAAGAGCCTCAGTGTACCTGAAATCAGCTCCCAAGATGCCCCCAGTCGCTCCTCAAAGGTGTCTGCACTGCTTCCCAACACCCATGTGGCATAGCCCATTCTAGGATTTACCATGATGGTTTCCCAAGTCGCCGCAGTGTAAGTGGGTCCTGACCTTTGGAACTACAGTGCCAGAGCAGCCAAGGAAAAGGCTCAGTAAAGAGAGACAGCCTGCCCAGCGACTCACCCTCACTTATAGGAGACCAGGGATATGAGAGCTGAAGCCCAGATACCATGGAAACCACGTCTTTCCAGGCAATGACAGCCAATAGCCAAGCAGAATGCATCAAGTCAAGGTCTCCCACTCAATACTAGGATCAAAGCGGAGAGCTCCAAGGACAGCCACACTGAGCTGGGAGGGTAGAGTAGGGTCCCATCAATGTTTATCCAAGCACAGCCTACTACATTAACGTTAAAGTTCCCAGCACATGTCTGCAGGCATGACACCCTTGTCAGCTGCCCAGCCACTCCGCTAAGACGAGCAACACGCCTGCACACAGCATGGGATGAACTTCTCTTCTGCCAGTGCCCTTCAGATTCACAGGCAGATACAAACTGGAGAGAAGCCTTTCGATTGCAACATATGCAGGCAAGTTTTTACCCCCTATGGCAACCTGAAGGTCCGCTACATGACACAGGGGGCCAATGATAACTCGGTTCACTGTAGGAGAAAGCTGGCCATTGAGAACACAATGGCTCTGTTTGGTACAGATGGAAAGAGTCTCAGAAATGTTTCTCAAGGAGATCCTGACCCCCTTGGTGTGGACTCAGTGGAATGGACACAGTACACTACTATGCTCAATGGTGGCCTGACCATGAAGACTGATAAATCTCATGTGGTTGTATTGTTAATGCTGTCTGTCTGTGAGAAATTAAAATTTGAATGCACCCCCACAAATAATAAATGCCCAAACCCAAATTAAAAGTCCTGGACTTAACTTCTTGAAAGAGTCCCAGATACTTTCTGATAGAAACTAAAGTCAGGAAGTAGTAAAAGACAAAAATTACAAAACAGTACCAAAAAAATTAGCTAAAGAGTTATTCTTTATTTCAAACAAACAAAAGGAAAAATCACATGCCTGTGTCCTTTCATTGGCATATATCAATTTTTAAAATAACATATAAATTTAGGAAATTATATATAAAACTATTTTTGCTTATAAATATTAGTTGTCTAGTAACATTATTTTTATTTATTTATTTATTTTTTTGGTACTGGGGATTGAACTCAGGACTTTGTGTTTGTGAGGCAGGCACAGTGCACTGGGCTAAATCCCCAGACCTATTAACATTAATTTTTAGGAAAGAGGCCAGAAGATAATACAGACTTTGTCCATTTCCTTTTTAAATGATCTGTGCTGTTAGGATGACTAAGTCAGATAATAAATCCCTCACAATACTCGCTATTCCTTCTATTTAATTAAGTAATAATTTCAGATCATGAAATATTCATTTCAGGCTTATGGCTTCCATTTCAGGTTAATACTGCTTTGAATTTAAATTGAGTTGTAAATGTGGATAGCATTTATATAAGTTAAGAGTAGCCACACTTTGAATATAAAAAATTCAAGAAGTACTTTAATGACACAATAAGAAAGTTAAACCAGTTGCCACATTCTAAACAGAGTATCCGAACTATTTTTTTTTTATTATTATCACAGGTGTTAGTCATTCTCGGTGTCTCTGGGGGATCCTACACACTGATTCTGAACTTGTAGAGGAGACAGAGGCTTCTGCTCTCTCTCCTCCCGCCTTTATTCCGTTGGAGTGAGCACCAGGGAAGGACACTTACAATCCCCTACAGTCTCCTCAGCCTCCCACATTTCCTCACACTTTCCAGCATATTCCTAGCATCCATATGGAAGAGAAAGTTACGCTGGGAGTCAGCAGCCTAAAGTCAGATTCACGACCTGCTTCTGTACAACCCAAGAAATATTCTAAGGCTCTATGTTTCTGATTTATGAAACTGAAAAAAAATAGTGCTCTCTTCCCCTCAGAGATGTTGACATGAGGATAAAGTAAGATAATTCATATGAAAGTATTCTGTCGATTGCAAAGTTCCACTCAAATGTTAATGTGTTTTTTCTTTATTTTTCTCTGCTTTTTCCCCCTTCACTCTTTCCAGCCTCTAGGTGAGAACTGACTTCACAGAATTCCCCTCTGCTACCATGATACTGCTTCTCTTGTCTATTTTCTCTTGAGGCACTTTTTGTTCATTGTTTCCATTTTTTAATATTCTTTAACAGAGCGTATCTCCAGAATTTGGTCTTTTGCCTGCTACTAATCTTCATGTTTTCTTTCAGTGTCTCAATATTTCTGTTTTCATTTTCAATTAATTAAATACCATTATTTTTCTGGTTCTGCAACTTTACAACTTTAGAATTACACTTTTACTTCTTTGATGTGCCCCATATTTAATGAACAGTAAATCTTAGCAATTGCTATTTTCATTGTCTTTGGATTTCCCTTATCCTAAATAATTTTGAGAGCAGCCTCTTTAATTCCTGATCCTCTTACCTCTAGGTAATGCCTGAGTTCTGATTACCTTTTTCCTCTCACATCTATCTATATGTAGGGAGTCAAAGTTTTATTTACTCCAAATGACAGTTTTTTGACATATTGCTCACCCTCTAAAACCTCCAATAACTTCTTAGTGCCTAGTGCATCAAATAGAAACTTCATAGTATAAAATATAATCAACTTCACAAATAACATGCTATTTCTGGAGCCTATTTTTTGCTTCTTTCCAAAATAGACTAGTTCAACCAATAAAAACTGTGGAAGAGTCAATTTTAGAATTAAAGTATGTTCTCAACAAAAAATGAAGTAATTTTATCATCACAGACTAAGTATGTTACATTTTTTCCCATTTAAAACACAAAATGTTAAACTATAAAAAACACTAATCATCCATCATTAAATCAAACCCTTTCATTTTACAAATGAGTAAAATAAGACCTAGGGCAGAGATGTAGCTCAGCAGTGTAGTGCCTGCCTGACAAGCAAGAGGCTCTGAATTTGATTTCAGGTACCAAAAGAAAAAAAAAAAATGAAGACCTAAATATAATAAGGTAGCTAATCTAATTCTTTAGAATGATAATTAAATGGCTGTGATGTTATCTTTTTTTCATTAAAACTGAGATGTAATGGGGTAGGAGGTGAAGTGGAACTTCTCCCCCTATTAACATCTATCCTACATTCCCTTGCTCACAAATCCATAGTGTATTTGGGGATAGGTTCATCCAGCA